GGGCCGGGTTTGAACCCACTACCCTTGGTATGTGGGGCCAGTGCCCCACCCAGTGAGCCACAGGTATTACCCTTAATTATCCATTAATTTTATATGTATTTATTTGAATATACTTTGATGTTTATTTTATCTCACCTTTAATGAACAATACTATGCCTTAACTGTGTCATTGTGCCTTATTGCGCTTCCTCTAATCAGACAAAGTCATAGTATTTGATTTGTCTTCTCATTTCAGTGTACTGATTTCTCCCTACTTCCTGGTTTAAAGGCAGTAATTTAACTTTACATCATATTTGTTTTTGAACTTACTGGTAAATGGATCTGGAAACAAATTATTATCAACTTTAGGTTTGATTCAAAGTAAATTTTACTAGAAATACATATTTAGGCCTGGTGTGGTAGTTCATGTCTCTAATCGCAGCATTGTAGGAGGCAGAGGCAGGAGGATCCCTTGAAGCCAGGAGGTCAAGATCAACCTATGCAACATAGCAAGAACCTATCTCTGCAAATAATTTAAAAATTAGCTAGGCATGGCGATGTGCACCTGTAATCCCAGCTAGTTAGATTGCTGAAGCAGGATGATCACCTGGGCCCAGGCAGTGAGCTGTCATCATGCCACTGCACTCCAATCCAGGCAACAAAAAAAATAATGTATGCATATTTATACACACTAATTTACATAAATACATTGTGCTGCTTGAGAGAGTTATTCATAAAAGCTCTTCCAAAGGTTAGTGTTAAAGAGTAAAATTCACTGAGGATTCAGAGGTAAAAAACATAGTAAAAAACATAACTCACTGAATTAAATATATAGTAGAACCAGCATAGTTGATCACCTCCCTACATTGGCCACCTCCTTACGTTGACCAAATTTTCATAGACCGTACATGCATTATGTATACCCAACAGTACGGCAGGCCTAGTTCCTTATATACCACTTTTGTATATTGACCAGTTTGTTGTAGTCCCTTGGGTAGTCAACTTACAGAGTTCTGCTATAGTTTTATTAAGTAGGTTCTAGCTTTGTATTGCCTAAAAGTTTTGTGGTGGTTATAATAAAATATGAATAAAGCACAGGTCCTCCAGTATTCCTTCATTAAGCACTATACAGTTTGATTTTATGTGCCTAACTGCAAACTAATCTTAAACCTGTGATTAAGATGAAGTAGTTATTTGGTCTGAAAGATTTTTTAACTTTATATGTGCATCTTTTATGTTTTATTTATAGTCATCCCCAGAAACCTTGGACTAATATGTACTAAATTTGCTTTTTTAAATAAGGAAATTTTATTTTCCTTCTGATGTTCTCATTTCCTGTTCCCAAATTGTATGACTGAAACTTTTGTTTAGTCCTAGGGAGGGTTCTAACTTTCAAAAGAAGTATTACTTGATTTTTCTCCTTCATTATTTGCTGTGTCACACTTGGAAAGTAAATTATAAGAATTGATTTTGTGGGAGGCAGACATCTGAAATGGTAAAGACACATGAAAATAATTTACTTGGTTATAACACTGTGTGTAAGGTACTGGAACTTCAGAAATGAAACATCACTGTTTTAAATGAGGTCAT